CTCTTTTGATGCTTTCTATCCTTTCTTTCTCCCTTCTCTCCATCTCCAGTTCTCTTTCTTTCTCCTGTTCGCTGGCTGCTAGTCTCAGACTCGCCACCAAACTCAGTCCATGTGTCTGGTTTGAAGGTAAAGTCTCCGGTTTCTTAGGCAATTCAGTCTCGGGAATCTTTTCTTGACTTTCTGCCATGTCTGAGAAGGCTGTGGGTGGCAAAATGTCCACAACAATAGGAATCAGTGGATCGTCATCTGCCTCTGAGAAACACAGGATCTCTGCATCTTCCTCATGTAAACAAGGCTGGTCTTCATTATTTAGCAGCAGACATGGTTGCTGGTCTGCGGGGGGCTGCGGATGACCTGTGTCTGTTGATCCGGTTGTGTGCAGGATGGAAGCGACTGTCTCGTAGCTGAGGGGCAAATATGAGGGAAACTGTGAGACAGAGCTCACCCTAAAATGCGACCACAGCAGGCGCTGAACAGTGTGGCAGAGAGCCAGACAGCATGCTTGATTAATCGGTTTCTTCTCAGACTTTGTTCTGGTGTTTGTCCAAAGCGTCGTGCGAAAGCAACCAAAGGAAACACTGATTGTTTGTTAGACTGAGATCCACCCAACAACTGTTTTTCTTCCCACTGCACAACATACTGGCATTTATATCACCTCTGGCGTGATTAAAAACAGGTAAAACACTCAGCTTAGATCAGCTCAGAGGAAGATACAAAGCTAACGGAGACAAATGCAAGCTCAGAGTTTTTTTGTTTTTACAAAATAACCAACGTAACACCAGATCAACTGCTGGCACTAACGTGATGGATGATATTATGTATAGTTTTTACATAGAGCAGTCAATAAACACCAAAGTGTTTCAGTACTGCGCTGCAAGTTTCCCACAGCATCCAACAGAATAAAGTAATAACTCATCCAAATGCAATAAAATGTCTGTCTAAACAAGTTAATCAAACGTGTTAATGTTTAAAAAGAACATCTAAATATTGTAAAAACATATTGCAACATTGCCTGGAGATTATCGTCATATAACAATGTATAAAACTACACAAGATAAGATGTGTATTATATGCCTAACTAATAACTCCTAACGCTTTATTATAATATTACTGTTATTCTTTTTCCTGAAGTCGCATTTAAAAGCAATAACGCCCTGTTTTGCTGTTCATTGCACTTTTATGCAACATTTAGAATGATATTTGATCACATTTGACAAGTTATTAAATGATCCCAGTTATCTATTGGCAACATGTACCGACTACATATAAGCTCGTTTAACAAAATCCTTTTTGCATTCTGCATCAGGCTTTAACCAATAATTCAACCACACCGGCAGGCAGAGAGACTCACCCTCTGTACAACACCCCAACTACTGCTGACATGAAGCCAGCAGCCTCCTCCTCCTGCTGCTCTGCAACACACACTTCTGCGTGTTTCTGGACACTACCATACAACAAACACACACACACACACACACACACGTTTTACTCTTGTCATATCACTTGCATTTAAACATCGAGTCTAACAGCACAGACGAACGCTGCGATGAAGAGAACCGCTTCACATGAGGTTAATTGCAGCTACAGAGAAAGCAGTGGTTTAGCTGCAGCATCACAGAGGACCGTTAGTAGGTACACGTGCACGTTTGTATTCGTGTGTGGAGTCACGACATGCTGCAAAAAAGGCCGCAAGGAACCATCACTGACTCACCCCCCTACTACACCCTCCTCTTCCTCCTCTTCCTTGCTCCCACTACTTTCCGTCACTCCTGCCTCGGCTGTGGTCTCCTCCACAGCTGCCCACAGCTGCTTTTCTGCCTCGCACACTGGCTCCTTTTTGTCGACCGAACTCCCCTGACCACCATCCACGACGACGGCTGGTTTCACCTCATCTGCTCCCTCCTGTTGTGGTTTTCCTGACAGCTGTAGCTCTTGTTCCGGCCGCAGTTCTGGTTCTGGTTTTGAGGGGAGCAGTGGCTCCAGTACAAGAGTCTTGGGGGGAACCTTGAGTGAGGTTGCTGGCTTCACATCGGGTCCCTCTGGCTCTTTGGGCTCCTCTTTAACCGGTGGTGTGCCGGGCTGAACAGTGACTATGTGGTGTGCTTGGGAATCTTCTGATGTTGTTTGTTGTTCCTTCTGTTTAACGGGGGTGTCCACCTCAACGGCATCTTCTTTGAGTGAGCTACAAGAGAGGAAATGCCACATTAAAGATAGATCTATTACACATTTCATGCTTCCCACAAACGACCTCATTCAGAAACCAGACTATTAGTTAATGTGGACAAACAGACAGGAGGTTAAAGCAGAAAAGCAAACAGATGGTCGCCCCCTCATCCATTCTTACCCTCTGCACAAAGGTTTTGCACCCTCCTTGGCAGAGATTTTTTCAGGCATATCTTTCCCATTTTTCTCTTCTAGCACTTTCCACAGAGGACTCTCAGCATCAGACAGCCTCTGTGGAGGAGGCACCAGCGCCAAGGCCTCTAATGATGGCTGAACAGGAGGGGTGTCAGGTGACATTTTCTTTTCTGGGACAACAATGTTTGACAGGGAACCTTCCTTTATGAGAGAGGGTTGTGCCAGACTGGATGAAAGGGAGAGACAGAGGAAAGGTAAAACAGAAGAAAGGGAGACAGGTGGAAGGATGTAGAAGAGTACAGCTGAAATAAGAAAAAGGAGAAGAGAACAGTCATGTGGAAATAACAGAAAAACCAAATAGCAGGGGTGAGCGATACCACAAAATCACTGATATCAGCGGTGCCATTTATTATTAAAAGCAGCTAGTTTATAATCTTGTAGGGGAGAGAAGATTGTCATGATGATTTGTGAGGTGAAGGCGGCATCAAGACTTCTGATTGCATTTAAATTACCACTGAACATTTGGCAGTTTGGCTTCTATTTGCAGTATTCTCCATTAATCACATGCATACACGATAACCGCAGTAAAGCAAAGAGCCCAAAATGGATCCATTTCTTTGGCAGGGATTTTCCTGCATACAGGAATTTTTGAAACTCCCAAAGAGATTTTAATCAGAGCTAAAGGAAACTGCCAGCGCCAAAACGATAAGAACTGGGAATATGAAAAAATAAATACATTTTTACCATTTTTGTTGAATAAGGTTTCTTTTACCCAAGCATGATAGATATTTAGGTTTATCAAATGGTACAAGAAAAACAGAAAAATGCATAGATTTCTGTCAAATAAAGTAACATAGACATATTATCTTTATTGTACAGGGGTTGAAATGCTCCCTGTTGACTACAGACACCTCCAAAGGACCGTTTTGAGCCAGGTTAACCCCTGTTTGGCATCAATGGTATCAATACACGAGGGATCAATCTGCTCACCCCTACCACAGAGACAATCAGTGAAGCCTTAGGTGAGCAAAGACTCAAAAAACAATCACCAAAACAGAACACAGACTTAATCAAAATAGCAACATTAAATGATTCCACCAAGTTTCACACCACTTTAGAGCAGAAGCAACAAAACATCGGTTGATGTTTAAATCACCAGAAGGCGAATTAAAAGTGATTTTTAAGGTTTTTAAGTCTCACGCTGATTGATTTTATGTGCTGAATAGGGAAAAAAACACACAAGAACAAAAAAGAGCACAGATTCATTCTTCAGTGCTGTGACTCACCGCTGTTGGGAGTTTGGTTTGTTAACTGATGGAGTCTCTCTGTCTTGTGACTGGCTCAGGATCTGTGAGGGCAGCTGCTCGGATGTAACGCCGGCTTTGACCACAGGAGGGAAGTGTGGAGCCAGAGGACCACTCTGAGGAGAAACTGAAGAAGTGGTTCTCATCTTCTGCTTGTCCTCATCTGACCTGTTGGCCTCCAGACTGCAGACCGGAGCTGCTCCATCCAAATTCCTCCTCCTCTGCTGTTCCTCCTCCTCCTTCTTCGTTCTTTCCATCTCCTCCTTCTCTTGGAGCAGCTTCTTCTTTTTTTGCTGTTCTTCAATCTTTTTCCTCTCTTCTTCCTCCCTCAGTTTCCTCTCTGCCTTCTCTTTCTCCTCTCTCTGCCTCTTCTCCTCCTCTTCCCTCTTTTTCCTTTCTCCTTCCTCCTTCTTCTTCTTCTCCTCCTCTGCTTCCTTCCTCTTCAGCTCCTCTTGTAGCCGTCTCTTCTTTTCTTCCTCCCTTTTCTTCCTCTCTTCCTCCTCCTTTTCTTTCTGCTCCTTTAAGAGCCTCTCTTTCCTCCTCTGCTCCTCTTCGCGTTTTTTCTCGTCCTCCTCTCTCTTCTGCTTTTCCTCCTCTTCTTTTTTCCTCCTCTCCATCCTTTCTTTCTCTTCCTTTAACAGTCTCTCTTTCTCCTCTTGGAGTCGTCTCTCCCTTCCTTCTGCTTCCCTCTTTCTTCTCTCCTCTCCTTCTTCGATTCTTTTCTTCTCCTCCTCTTCCTCTCTTCTCTTCCTCTCCTCATCTGCTCTCTTCTTTCTTTCTTCTTCTTTCCTCCTCTCCTCCTCTTCTTCCTCTTTTTTCTTCTTCTCTTTCGCTGCCTCATTTTTCTTTCTCTCTTCCTCCTCTTTAAGATGTTTTTCCTTCATCTTCCTCCTCTCTTCCTCCTCCTGGAGCTTCTTTTTCTCCTCATCTTTCCTCTTTCTTTGCTCCTCGAACACTCTCCTCTCTTCCACCCTTTTCTCCTCCTCCTCTTTCATCTTTTTCATGAATCTCTCTCTCTCGACTCTCTTCTCCTCCTCTCTTCTGAGTTTTTCCTTTTCCTCCTCCAGGACTCTCCTCTCCTGCTCTCTTCTCTTCCTCTCCTCCTCCTCCCTTTTCCTCCTCTCCTCTTCCTCCCTCAGTTTCTCCTGCTTATCCCTCTTCTCCTTCAGGAGTCTCTCCTCTTCACGTTTCCTTCTTTCCTTCTCCCTCTTGACCTCCTCCTCCTCTTGTAAGAATCTCTTCTTCTCCTCTTCCAGCAGTCTCTTTTTTTCTTCTTCATGTTTTCTCTTCTCCTCCTGCTCTCGCTTCAGGAGCATCATTTTTTGCTCTTCCTCTTTCCTCCTCCTTTCCTCCTCTTGTTTCTTTTGATTTTCCACCTCCCTCTGTTTCTCCCTCGCCATCGCTGCTCCCTCTAACAGCGACGGTTTTTCTCCGCACATCTTTTCATTGGTTTTCTGTTCAAGACTGCACAACAGATAAACAATATTCCTTAATCCTGTATCTGTGTGTGTGTTTCACCATTATCAGCACCATGAGCTCACATTCTGCAACCTTAATGTTGTTATTTCTTTTTTAAATCTTAATTGTATCCAGTAATTTTAAATACTTACCCTGGAGGACATCTTTTGATAGTATCTCGCTTAGAGTCACCCTCTTCCAGAAACAAGCCCCCTGATTCTTGCCTCTGGTTAAATGACTCAAAGATGGCATCAAAGTCAGGCTCAGGCTTTGCCAAGGGCGGCTTTTCAATCTTAAAGGGGTTTCTCTCATCAGTTGCCTTTTTCAGATCAATTTCCCCCTGAATATTTGTCTGTTTTGGGGTGATAAATGCCGCCACGACACTGGTGGAGGGCTGCTCGGGGGTGGAGCTGTCGCTGCAGGAGAAGGGCCAAGGAGGGGGCGGGGCTATGATCAGCTCTGAGCGGGATTGGGCAAGACTAGGGACGAGAAATATTTGGAGGTCAGATTCGAGGGATGAGCGGGTGGGATTTCACAAAGTGGCTGCATAGCAAACTACAGAGCTGGTGTAAGTGTCTAACCGGGGGGTCAGTGCAACAGGAGGCAGGGCATGAAACACTCTGCAACTGTTAGCACGTGTAAGCGTTGACAAACAGGAAGCACAAAGCCACTGTAGGGTCTTGGGGAAGTCTCACAGTCCTGGATCCATAAGCATGAATAAAATGTGCTCAACAACACAACTGTCAGCAAACTGAAGCAACAAGATGGGTTAGTTTTAGGTCATTAGTGCCACAGTAAGTGCTACTAAGGCAATTATCAACACTCAAAGGTCCTTATTATGATATTAAATATTGCTGCACTCTTTGCTTATGTTGAACAAAAACGATTGCAGGCGGATTACGGGTCCTGTTATCTTTTGAATGGCTCATGCACTCAGGAGCACTTTCAAATTTACAGTGATCTCCAAACCATCATGTTATCAGCAGCATTGACATGTAGTGACTTCAAGAAACACTTTTAGAAAAAATGCTTATTTGCTTTTTACATAAGAACAGTGATGCTGCTTTCAGATTTGTCTGCGCATAATGAAGCTTCAGCCAGCGTATGCTAGTTTTTGTATGAAAACAGGAAAACACCTGGTCTGGCTCTGGCAAAAGGGAACTAAATGTATTTTTAGGCATCTATAAAGCACACTCATCAACAGGTTATGTCTTATTCATTTGTTTGTGAGGTACAGTTTCTTGGCCTTGTGTAGGGATTTCCTGGACTTTTTATTTGTATTGAACAGATGAAAACATATAACATGTTAACCGCTGATATGTAGAGGTGCTGGGAGGCAGATTTTGTGGCATTTGGGCAGAGCCAGTTTCCTATTTTCAGTCTTTATGTTAAACTAAAACAACCTGCCACTGGTAGTAGCTTCATAATAAGCATATTTCCCAAAAATGTCAAACCAATCCTTTACACAATCATGCGGCATCAAGCTCACAGCCCATGTCAGATTGTTCAGATGTTCACGAGAAGAATCTGAACTTTCTGACTTTTAAAACGCTTGTTTTCTTTTGTAGCCCATAATCCCATTTAAACAAGTTTATCAGCTTTGCTGTTTCCCTGAAGCTCCGTTAGGTCTGCACCAGTCCTTAAGACACCTCTTAAGCTCTGGGGTCTGTTGACAGATGATCTCCTCACACAGCAGATCGAGGCCAAACATGTCCCTGAGGAGCCAAATCACGCGATCTAAATTTATACTCTCATGTGATATCGTTCATGTCCTCACCTGATCTTTCCTGGTCCAGCTTTGTTGTCTGTGATGGCTGCCTTTGAATCTGGTCTGAATGGCTGGTTGGATATTTTGCTGTTTGCCACTTCCTGGGTGTTTTGAAGAGAACCTTTGCCTTGGCTTGGAGGGATCGGGGTTGTTTCTTTCGCCGTGAAGGTTGTTTCTTTACCCTCCTGAGTGGGGGGGAACATCAAGCCTATAAAGAGTGAAAGCAAGTTCAGAAAACAGATCATGAATGAGTGAGTGAGTGAGTTTTTACATGTAAAATAGCATGAGAAAATGTCTTTGAACACAGACAAGAGGCTGTTTGATTAGTCAGCTGGTGTACCTGACTGACAGGAGCCGATCTGAGCAGGAGGAGCAGAAGGATGGGCGACAGTGAGAGGGGGGGAGAAAAAGGTAGAAGTGGAAAGAGAAGAGGGGTGAGGGGGTGAGGAGTGTGGGAGGGAGGGAGGACGGGTTGTAACCACTGGGTCACAGAGGGCATCCAGATCAGGACTGGTCAACAGAGGGACAGGGGCGATGCCCCCACCACCTGGAGCAGAGTCAGATTTCAACCACGACCCCTGAACACCTGAGGAGAGTGAGGAGGAAGGATAGGAGACATGAGGTGCTGAGGGGGATAGGAGAGTTTAGATGAAGCAGATTTATAGAAATGATGATGACAGAGGATAAAATAAAAAAACAGAGAAATTCAGAAACAAGAAGAAACGAACAGGTGTGGGGACAGAAATAGGAAGTGCTACCACATTTTTGACATTGGTTACCTGACTCTGAGCTAGAGGGGTGAGATTTTGAAAGAGGTGGTGTTGGCTCAAGTGAAGGAGCATCAGCGGAAAAAGGAGAGGGTGAGGTGGGCCGGGCGATTGGCTTGACAATCTGAGGTCTGAAAACGTGAGAACGGCCTGACAGAGGATGAAAAAATAACAAGAAAGGGAAAAATGTTAAGGATTTTTAGATAAAGCAAAGTGGATCAGCATCACTTGGGCTTTAAGACAGTCAAAGCAGAGACAGACCAGAGGCTGAAGCAGAATCATCCCCAGTTTGAACCTCTGGGGGGCGCTGCTGGTATGAAGCAGGAGCTGAGGAGAGCAAAAGAGTGAAGAACAGGAGGAGTGAGGAGAAGCCAACATACAGCCAGCCAGAGACAAAGAGAGAATGTGGTGCAGCAAAGCTAATATCAATGCATGCGTTTTATATCACATGTCTGGAACAAACAAATGTTTTTGCTGATTTCCTTTAGCAACGATAAGGAACTTACGTCTTAGTTTCACTCTATTTGGAATATTGTTATGGTCCAGCAGTGCTAAAAAGTAAGCAAAATGTTGTTGCTACTATATAATTAAGAAGTCTGAATTTAGTTTCTGCTCCAGTCACATTTTTATTCACTTTTGGGTAAGTTTTCACTGCAACATGAAGTCCTGCACCTCTTTGGTAACAACACAACCATGGCTAGACGTAGAGAGAACTCAAAATGTCATCTGTGAAAAAAATGAAGGCTGAAACTGGAATTAACAGTTTCCCACAAGTGTTACTAATACTGGAAAAAATGGTGACTTTCCATGCTATATATATTTCACTACTTACATTTTCCATAAACTTACAGCCATTCCTACTTAAGTCATTCCATAACTCCCCCTATCTGCTCTGTGTAAACACAGCCTTCAGTTCATCCTAGTCCTAAAAAAAATCCCTGAATTTTGATCACTAATAACTTAACGGTTGTGCCGAGGAGCAAAGAATTTTTTGTTTTTCTACCGAATCTGGTTATAGCAAATGCTTTTGCTTTATTTTTGAGGATTAAAGAAAAAAAAAAGAAAACAAAAGAGATGTGTAGAATTAATTGATTTTGATAAAATATTACAATTTTAAGCTCAGAAGTTTTCCGCCAGAATGGCACAACCTTGTTTTTCTTGTTTGTTGCTTTAGTAAATGGCGTAATTTTGGTAATTTTTAAAAATAAAACAAGTCTTTTAAACCCACCGGCAGGTTTTGGACTTCAGGGGGTTAAAGGTTTAATATTTCTTTAGAGCTTAGTTTGTAGTACATTCTCATCCCCTCACGTAATCCCCTGTATTGGAAAGGTTTTCTGTCTGTAGAGGAAGATTTTCTGTGAATGTCAGTTAAGTGCATATTTGTAGTGAATTAGGTGTTTATATCATCACAGGCTGTAGTTTATGTGTTTTCTAAATCATGAATTACAGGTGTTTATTTCCAATGTGTATGTGTGAGAATAAAAGCACATATTATTTTTATAGCATTTACAACAGGTAGTAGTGTGATAAAGCTATAAGGCCAGGAATAATCTAGTTCTAATGCAGAGAAGTTTGCACATGTAAAAGACCTCTGTGACAATATATTGCGTAACACTGTGTTAAAAAGAAAAAAGCCGCAAGTTGGTCTGAGATTTAACTTTTGGAACAGATCCACCTCTTGGACGGTGATTCATTGTTTTTACAGCTTTCTGCGCTGGTTTAATTCAGAAGAAATTAAATGAAATGAAACCTGAATCAAACAAAAATAATCCAAGCAGAAAGAACGGCCCTTATATTTGGATTGATGTTGAAGACAAAGAGGTAAAAGATGGAAAAATATGAATTAAAAAAACAAAAACAAACACCAAGCAGAGGTTTCTCTCTCTGAGCTACTGCAGCATCGACCATGCATTCAGATGTTTACCTCAAAACTCGGATATCGTGTCAACCTGATCATCCATAGATCTGCCACACAACACACCATGCTGTACACAAGCAGCACACTATGTATTTGTACAACACCGTGGCCGTGAAGCTAAATAATGCGGAAAACGAGATCAAACCGGGCCATCACACATCAGGAATCAGTTAGTGGAAAGCATGCAGCATGCCTGTCTGCCTGCCAGCCTCTTGATACCTTTTGCTGAGCCTGCCTGGAAGATTCTGGGCAGGGAGGGAGGCTGAGAGACGGTCCAGGTGGAAGGAGGGGGAGCAGATGGAGGCTCAGAGGACAGGGTGGGCTTTTGGGGGGTGGAGGATTTGGGAGGAGGAGGCTGAGAGGGAGTAGAGGTGGGCTTATGGGTCAGAACAGTGGATACAGTGACAGAGGACTTTTGGGGAGTTGTGGAAGCTGATGTTGTAATAGTCTCAGGTGAGGAAGGGGAGGGAAGTTTGGGAATCGAAGAGATAATTCCTGCTGCAATGGGAGGCTGAGAGGGCAGTGTGGAGGGTGTGTTTGAATATGCAGCACCTTCACAGGATTTTGATGATGGAGCTGAGGGCTTTGCTGAAGCTGTGGCAGAAACTACAGTAGACACAGCTTCAGAACATTCAGAAGAGTTCGGAAGAGGGGGTGCATCAGAGGAGGAGGAGTTAGTTTGAATTGAGGGAGCATCTGCTTTGACCTGGGAGCTCGGACTATCGGCTAGAGAGGCCGGCACAGCAGAAGCCTCAGGAGCTACAGGAACGGAGAGTTTTTTATGCTTGGACCTGGGTGAGGGCTGAGGGGAGGGGCCGGGGGAAGGTTGGGTCTCTGCGGGGGAGAAAGGATGTCGGGAGCGACGGGGTGAGGGGCGAGGAGCAGTCGGGAGAGGAGGGCGGGAGGTGACGGCGGAGCTGGGAGGACCTCCATCACGACCACAGGCTGGATTAATAAATGGAAGGATGGATGGATCAGTAGAAGGACAGAAAGAAACAGTCATGAATCGTGGATGACAATGAAATGACGCTGAAAATTAGGTTGGGATCACATGTCAGTTAATTGTAAAAATGTCATGATGATCCCATGTTAATCACATGACCTGCTTGTTTGTGTGATACCACAAAACAAAGCATGAAAACAGGATGAACTGTGATGGAATTAAATCCAATTTTGCTCAGTGTGCAGACTTTTGTAACTGATTAGCGCTTGCAACAAAAAGAATGAATTTTGATTAAATTTCAAATATATGTTGCTTTGTTTAAGTAGAGCTATTTTACTGACTCTGTTGCTGGATTCTGAGCCCTTACAAGTTCGTACTTTGCCAGTATTACCTCTTACCTTTCTAGTCTAGTTTTATTTGGGCTGACTTAGTTCTATTTTTATTTTTAGTAATGTATCATACTTATATCTTATTGCATTCCTGGTAGGCATCACCTTTATTCTCATGTTATTACAATTTTTCTGTATAACCTTTGGCACAATCATTTCCTACTGGATCAATAAAATTCCATATTATCTGATTTTACTGTGTCCTGTAATTGGGTGCCTTCCTCTGAACCATCACAGATTCATTATCCAGTGATAAAATACCGCACAGTTAGCTACAGTTAGCTACTACAGATAGCGAAAGTAACATTTAAATACTTCAAGCACATTTGACAATCAATATTTGTATGCTTAAGTAACATTCCGGAAATCTTGTATTGCTGCTTTTACTTAATGATCTGCAAACTACTTCCACAAACACCACAGGTTTGCTTTAATTTTAAATATTGATAATTTTGGGGGGGATTTACAACTCCTTTTGTAAAAATCTAAATGCTAACATCTTAGTACAGTACTACTGCTGAACCAGCTAACAGATGTCAGAGGACATGAACATATAATCTAATTTTGTTCTTAAAAAAGAAACATAAAGGACAGGCACTCTGGTGTCAGAGTTATGGTCAGTTGAGCTACTGTTACACTTAATTTGCTCCTTTTTCTCTATTACAGTAATGTCTCTGTGGACACAAAAATGGCAATGTGCCATGTGGCAGCTGCAGCCTCCAGACAAACTTCAATACATTAGTGGTATCATGCTGCATTCAATGGCAACTGGGAGCTCAGAATTTCTGACGACCAACGTGGAAAAATCTAAGAAATGCCAGCTCAAGGCAGATTTCCTACTCAGGTACTTGAAAAAGGTTTCTCTGCCTCAACTACCCAAAAAATCTGTTTAGTCTACTTTAATAAGTTTAATGCCTGAAACTTCAGATAATGTATGTTTGGCGTCTTTTTCAGTCTTCTGTTTCTTCAGTTATGTGAAGTACGCGTCTGTTGTCGCGTGAGGCGACCATGTTTTTGTTCCCACTTTATTCTTGAAAAGACGCAGAGTAAATAAGTAAATTGAGTCATTTCCAGATCCAACTTCCCACTTCTGAGGAACATCAAACGCAGCATTTGTCTACCATCACATGATTCGTAATGGTGTTTATCGTCTGGATAGGAAATCTGTGGTATGCAAAGAAGTGTTCAGTCATGTGGGAAGGACACCAGAACAAATTGCACGAGTGTGTGAAATACTGCAGTATAAACTGAGCCACCCAATAACAGACAGCAGGAGAGACAGTCAGACAGACAGAGTTCCTGTTCACACCTCCTTCTCTCTGGCAAAAGAAACAAAAAGCAGGAAAGAGTGACAGAGGAGCTACCTGAGGATGGAAAAGTGGGTCCAGAGGAGATTCGCTTGTCAGGTGGAGGAGGAGCAGGACGATTTGGGCGAGTTAGAGTGTGTGGAACGACTGCAGCAGCCAGGAAAGTGTAGAGCAGAAGAAGAGAAAGCAAAAGGAAAGCAGAGGAGGATGAAATGTCAGAGCTGAAATGAGTGGAAATAATTAAGAGTGAAAATCAGAGAGAATAAACAGTGTTGGTGTTAAATCTGCCTACCTGCAGCAGTCACAGACTTCTTGTCCTCCTCTTCATCGCTCTCATTGAAGTCGTCCAAGTTGCCGATATCTGTGGGTTTGACGCTCATCAGGCTGGCAAGACTCTGCATGTCTTCATCACTGAGAGACAAGGACAAACGTATATCATGGTACTCTTGCAGATCCACATGTAGGACAAATATATTCAGTATATCAAATGTGGTTGAACTGTTTAAGAACCTTTTAAACCATTATGGTATGACTCATTTATCAACTTCAACAATGACTTACAATAACTGTCTACAAACAGAAGAAACCCTTGAATTCAAGCATTCTGGGACAAACCTCAGGATACCAGTGTTACATCATCTTTTATCAGATATCACTTCGTACAGAAACATCATAAAACCATGTCATATCTTTAGCAACTCCTGCAAGTAGCAGCAGAGAGAAAACTAAATTAAACTACTCACGTGGCTTTCCCCTCGCGAACAAAGACACATGACAGCGACAGCTTGAGCGTGGCCTCTACCACTTTGACAGACAGCGGCTTCAGCTTCAGTGTCAGGTCAGTCTGGGTTGGCGTGGGACTGGCGAAGCGCTTCAGGTTGATGTCAGCTGATGCCAGCACCTTACGGTGGCCCTTGTTCTCCTGCAGGTGACCAACAAGGACAATCAATGACTATTTTCTACTTTATTCTTTTATTTATATGTGAGACAGATTTTTTTAAATGGGATGACGGATTTAAACTAGTTGAGAGATACTTACACCCTCTATGACAAAGGTCCAGTCTTTGTCCTCAAATTCATCAGCATTGGCCTCCTGTAGGGAAGATTACAGAAAGACACTTGTTTCAGTCTGTGAATTTGCTCATATGGTTGGATAAAATTACAACTTTATGACAAATGTGTACATTTTTACTATTACTCTATTACTGTGATCCAGTATCTTCATTAACTTTTCAGATACCTGTACATCCATACATATGCAGACAGACACAAAGGTCAAGCTTCAGTTCAATAACAACTGTGTAATAGCTTCTTTAAAACACGTGATGAACTATTACCACATAAGACCGCATCAAAAGTGTGACCGTCACACAAGGAGGACAGCATGAGTTTGTAAAACCACTGACACGACAGTCACCCAGGAAAATGTAAATCCTAAACTTTCTTTCATCGTTTCATGTTTGCGGTTTTGATTTGAAATTGACTAGTTGTTCAGTCCGCCTATGTGTTCATTGTAAATCGTTCATTTGAGGAGCTGTTTGGTACCTTGAAGAGAGTAACAGAGATGTCGATGTTTTCTGGGACAGGCCACATCACCATCCCCCTGTAGGGGTTCTTGATCCCAGGCTGCCAACTGTGGAGCTGCACAACAAACGACACGTTAACAAGACTGCAATTGTGTGTGTGTGTGTGTGAGTGTGTGTTTGTGCTGTTGCGGTGGTTTCACCTTGGAACACATGCGTCTGTTCCTCCTGGTCCACACCACTCTCAGCTTGTCTGGTTGCCTGTGGAAACATGAAAACACGTCAAAACAGAAATTCCACCTTGCATCATTCTGTTGGATGACATTTATGTGTATTGCACACTTTGCTCATATGCAGGGAGGGTGAGACTGCGCAAAAAAAAAGGCTTTCTAGAAACTCTTGAACTCTCTGAACATGAATCCTTGAAGTTATTATTTGAGTATTGTCTCCAAACAAAGTGGACATTATGCACAACAAAAAAACACAAAGTCTTATGACTTTCTTTGCCGAATAGTAATGCCTCTGAGTCAAAGATGAGGCCTTGATGTGCGTGTGTGTGTGTGTTTATGCAGACCGCTGTGAGGATGTGGCAATATGTTTCATATGTCTATCTGTATGCAGTTATAAGGATGTGATACTGTGTGTGTGCAGCCAGCTGCTTATCAGTAATGAGGCTACACAATGTGCACATAATAAGAGTGTGCCTGTCTTTTATTAAACATGTGTGCTGATAAAGTGTATTTCTGTGCCTCCATTGTATTTTCTCAGTCCTCTGTAGCACAGGAAGTGAAACAGGAAGTCACACAGTCATGTGACCTGAACTAAATGTGAGGTGTGTCTCTTGACGGGAAGAAGGAACCCCTAAAACACACACACACGTCACACAAACACACATGCAAACATAGAACAACATTTTCTTACAGCATAAAATACTGTTCTTAACTTACTGCTAACTGTAAATATATTGCATTTATGCCCATTTTAACACATGCACTTGTTCAGATTAACAGCTCACAGATGCCAAATGCTGTCTCAAGTTTCAGTGTCTTCAAGTATAGCTGAGAGGCCTTTGTGTGCACACGTGTTGATGTGGTATGTGTGTTAGGGGGTCGGGAGTGGCATCAGAAATAGCCTGGCAGACACAGAGTGGGGGTGATGGTGGGAAGAGATCAGTGATTAGAAGGAAAAAAAACAGCAAATATAGGAGACAGCAAGGATTTGTGGAAGGAAACTATCATCTACAACACTAGGATGCTACATCTCATGAGCACAGTGAGAGCAGGCTGCAGTGGAGGGTTGACACTGGTTTTACAAACAATAGTGGCGCGGTACAGTCTGGTAGCATGTTATTACTGTACATCGTGGTTCAGCGGTCAATAGTTTGTGTTCCCACAGACGACTGGATGAGTTATAAACGTGACTCTCCTCTACATTAAAGCCTGACACTAAGTATTTGTGATAAGTACACTCATAAAACTCCAGACATTTATACATTTACAGGCAGCTGCTTCCTCTGCAGAGCTGCTCACTTAGTCACTAACCTCTCATGGTTTTGTCACATGAAGCATCCCTGCCGCTACATAAAAATAGTCCACTTGCTAAGTCTTTAATTATGTCTGTGCCAATTCTTGGTCTCTGTCAACATTACTTCATCATTTTCTAACCCGTGTCGGCTGGACCTTCCTCTTGTTGGGTCCCTCTGTGTTTTTGTATCCAAAAAACCTTGTGGATTGTTTGTGCCACTTTGCAGCAGCAGAAAAAGCTTGCAAAGACAGCATAGCATATCATCAACTTCTCAGCTGATGTTGCAACTTTTTAGAAAACAGCTGCATTTACACGCCCACCAGTTATGAATAAACACCAGCTTTCATTTGAAGTTGTGTTTCAGGTAACCAGGATCATTTAAGCCCAATATTCATTTTCTTTTTAGTGTTGTTTTTGGTCTCCACCAACTCCTTACGGAAATTTGGCAGTGGAGTGGCAGAAGCAAATCATCTCGCACAAAGTCTAAAATGCATCTAGTAAGTCTGTGTGAGAGATGTGTCTTGAATGAAAGTCTATGGTTTCGAATTATAGCACTAAATTAGAATGACTTCAAAACATACAGACAACACTTGTACACAGACATGTTGACAAAGAGTTTGTTTCCTGTTTCTGATGTTTGATCAAGTCTCAGTGACCTCTGACACCAAATATAGAGTTCAAACAACAAAAACATGTCTTAAGTACACCTGGCAAATCCTTTGCATTAATCTCTGGGGTTTCCTAACTTCCCCCTGCCAACTCTCATGCCTCTCTCTGTGGTTTCTGACTTTAGCCTCCCTGTCTCAACAGCATGCTGGTAAACACTAACAACCTCTGATTTCACCATATTGTATGTGGGAGTTTCCACTCTTACTAAATCACCCTTTTACAAGATTTCTCTGCTACCGATCAAACTCTAAAACTTGAACTGACATGACCAATCAGTCACAACTGAACGAAAATTGATCTTTGTTTCCTATCGTGGTGCTGACAAGCCGCTTACACACTTATTCCTTCGTGTAATGTAATCAGATAAGATAAAAAGGTGCAGCGTGGGCCACGAAGACATGCAGGCAAAAGTTTAAAGGTGCTGGAAAAACTTTGCTGAAAGAAAACTGCATTTTATGCAAGATTTCAAAGATTTCTAACACCTCCAGGTGACATATATAACAGGATACCACAAATAGGCTCCCGAAAAGGCCAATAAAAGACAAAAATATTGGTTTGTAATTAAACTTGACTGCAGACCTCCAAAGCTTATATTTGGGATTTATTTTGGATTCGGTTTTGTGTGAGTTCATGTCAGAGCAAAATAATACTTCATAGTCCAACTCTACTGAGCTTGAGCGTGATAATAGTGTTTGATTGCATCTCCTGAAATGAGATAAGGTAAGTGAGTCTGCCTACAATGATGAATTATTAAAAAGAGAATGTAAAACTGTAAACGCAGCTCACAATGTCTTACAGGCACTTGGTCGGAATGCTTGTATTTAACTGTATTTTAAAATCAAATAACAATCAACAAACCAAGATTCCAATAACAATAGTGTTGAGTATCTTGTTTGTACTGTAATTTGCAGACATAATGTCCCAGATGTGAGCAACAACCAACTTTATCAGCTTATTCCGGAGAAAAACGACTTTGGAGTGCTAAAACGTTAATCTTTAAATAAAAACGACCTTTATGATGGATTGTTTACTATCACATCCAAACCTGATCAATAGGCGGGGCCGGGGATCGAACCGGCGCCCGCAGTCCAGCACATGTACACACACGAGGGACGCCCTCATCTCCGTCAGTGTAGCGGAAAAACCAACAACACGAGAATGAACGTAGTCGTAATAAAGTCTTATTATTGTTAATAACACAGCAAACAGAGCCCCCGGAGGTTATTTCCACACTGAACTATAAACAAGACATTTCCATGGCGCACTTTAAAGCTTCACTCACCATTTCTTGGTACACTCCAAAACAAGTTCCTGGTAAGACGCGACAAACTGAAACTTTGAAGCCTTTTTACCAACTCGCTGCAGTCTTTTCCAAACCGAAGTCATGGCTTCTTCTTGGTAAAAAAAAGAAATTAAACAGGAGAGAGAAAGAACTCCTCGGCGTGACAATAATCCAACCGGTTGCGCTCCTTAAATGGTTTTCTTCTTCCTCCTCTGCTGGTGATGATGATAAACCGCGCACAAGCTGCGACTTGCGCTCATTGGCAATAAATTGAATCACACACACGCACAAAAATGTACCGAAAAGTAAGAGCTCTATACAGATCAGGCGATTATAACGAGCAGCAAAGAGGATCCGACTCCCTCCCTGCTCTCTGTCATTCACACAGGCTATAAACGCTTCATATGAAGATAAAGTTTCAGCCAAACAACTGCAGGAGCTCTCATTGACAACTTGTCTCTCTCTTCTTTCTCTTCTGGCAGAAATCCACAGGGAAACAGCGCAGCTTACTCAAGCCTGGGGTTGTTGTAATATGGGTCTGCTTCCTCTAGAGTCTCTTCACCCTCCCTCTTTCCTTCACAGAGTGAGACAGGATATGCAAAGAGTGTCCACTGGTGATGCAGCAGTATGCAAAGTCTTACTTTATCTCACACTGAGGTAACAGTCATACCTGCAGACTTTGATCCTGACTGTCTGCCACTGGAACAGCCTTATCAGTCTGTCACCGTAATCAGCCCTGCAAGACACTCACACCTCCTGCAAAGCTGAAAACCCCTCATGAAACTACTTTTTAATTGGAGTTATGAGATCGAGTCACTTCCTGAGTTGCAGCAGCGTCATCCAGAAAAAGTGTGTTTTGTCCAGTAAAACTGCAGAGGAATAGTTTCCAAGCAGAGGGCCAAAGACTCCGCTCAGTGCTAAAAGCTGGGTCAAGGCGCTGGGATTTTCCTCAGTGAGAGCAGAAGTGTATTTTTAGGATCATGGGGGGAGAACAGAGATGGATGGATGGACAGAGGCAGCTGGGGTGGAGGAGTGTGCGGCAGCAGCAAGAGAGGAAGGGGGAGAAACAACTCTCTCATGACTCAGAGTTGGTCTAATATTACGCTCTGGTTCCAGTATTCTGAGCTGCATTATTGCTCCGAGCACGTATACACACCTAACAGTTAGCTGAAGCTATGTGCAGGATGTATAGCTTCCCTTTTCCACCTTACTTCCGCGTAAACAGACCTGACTATTGTACTTTAATGCCTTTAATCCCCCTGTCTTGTGGCCTTTATGGCATTTTGTTCTCACATTTTTTCCTTTTGGGGGTGTTTCCTCGTTTTAAGAACTAATCTCATAAAGTCATTGTATTGCAGCTCCCCCCCCCACTAATACCTCATTGTCCTTTCGTGCTACTACAGTAAAAGTATTTACAGTACCCACAGGATGTGATATTAACAACCAGGCCTCCTACCATCTACTGAAGCAAAGACAAAGCAAAAAAAAAAAACAAGATATAAAAACATCAGTAAACACTTGCTCCCAGTCCTAACTACAATGACATTGTTGTGATGGATGACTTGGATAGAAATGATCCTGTGCACATGTTGATGAGTTCGACCTTTTCCAACAATATCCACAGCATATGTTGATTATAAATAGGGAACAGCCCGAGACTTTCCTCTCAAATGTCACTCCACAGCAAATGGTTTTCCCCAGGCTGCTGCTCTCAACAGGACTTCAGAGAATGAGGCCTGCAGGACTGAAGGATTTGGAGACAGTGTGTCCCCTGTTGGTCATATTTGGCAATATCATCCTTTGATTGCCTTCAATTCGGCTGAAAGAATGCTGTAGATACCTGTGGTTAACACTGTGGTTTTATTTTCAGATTTAAATACAAAAGAGTCATTCATTTGGTTTCTCAAATGATTTAGCTGCACAGAAAACTGTGACACATTTTGTTTAACAAGTGATTTGATCCAAGACTGTTTTCACTAAAGGGACTGTTTAACTTTAATCTGTTGGAACAGAGTTTGACAGTCATACTTGTACAGTTTTAAATGGTATATTACTCTATGGCATTGGAAATGTGATAAAGTGAATAATACTGAATAATAATAACCTAAGTTGTTTTGGCTAAAATCCTCACAAGGCAGTTGATAACAGATTATTATGTGTGAATTCAAGACCTCAGAAAAGAATTCTCTCAGGACTAACCCTTAATTTAAGACAAAAGCATTGTTTCCTATAATCTGCCAGCTTTTCTTAGTTTTATTATTAGTTGAGCCTTAAAGAGGAAGCCAAGTTTGACAATAGTGCATAAATAATATCATAGCCAGCAGGTTTCCATATGACTAAAAACCAAGATTTCCATTAAGGCTGCATAAAATGACTTTACACGTGTTTTTTTCCCATAAATAAATAAAGACACCACTGTGAAAAACCTGTTGGCACTGTTTGTGGTCATTGTCAAGCTGCAGAATGAAACTGGGAGTAATCACCGATGGCACTGTGTGATGGATAAATGTTCCTAAAAGCTACAATTTTTTTTTTTTGCAGAGAACTACACATCAATGAGAAATCAGGAATCCTTGTACTGCACTGTACTGTGTGTGGTTTAACAGAACAAGGTCATTTTCAAAGAATTTCTTTCTCATATTTGGGTTATAAAATGTGCATGCTGTGCTCATAAAAACAGCATAATAAAGATTATCAACCGTCAGACCTTATGTTCTTCAGTCACTGCTTTGCACAATAAAACAAGGTGTCTGAAGTCATCATGAAACCACAAATTGCGCCCTGATAGATCAAAGACACAAACCTAATATGTTCAGAAAAACCCAGTATGCCTCCTAGCTCATTTTAAATACCAAACAAGGAGCAGGTTGTAGCATGTTATAACTGATAACAGCTAATCTTACTTGTTTCTCTTGATTTTCTTCTCTTAAAGCTGGCCTCATTTCTGCAACAACATACAAGAGATGGCAGGAGTTATGTGGCAGTATGTGGCTAGAATGCAGAGCTCCTCAACAGCCTGTATCACAGAGCAGCTGATATGATTTCAGACAGAGAAATGCACAGCGGTGGATTAAGTTTTAAAACAACTGTCTGGTTTAAACCGTCACCGTCAAAGCATCTAAGACACATTTTACATTAAATACGGAACCCTGTGTAGATCACAAACCCTGGTGCTTTACATCATCCTCAATCGTGTAGCGTGCAAACAAACTGTTACAACCATCGTACGCAGGTATAACTCACCTAATCTGAAGCTGAATTTAAACCAGAACCAGATGAGCAAAAACTTGTTAAAAAAAATAATTAAAGGCCACATATGTAGGTGCTTATGTTACAAACTTCTTGTCCAAAATTACCAACCGCATTAGTGGAATGTCAAATGAAGTCATTTTGGGCTGAAGAAGTGTTAGGCAGATTCATTCATTTTCTATCAAATAGGCACTGATTTTAAAGTTTAAAAAAATGAATGTGGATTAGAATAAATACTGGAAATCAGGACAATATTAAAAAACAAGTGTAAATGGGACCTAAAGAGACAGTTTGAACTTTGAGAAAATACACTCATGGTGCCCATACAGTGCATATAGTCTGTATCGTTATCAGGGAATATGAAAGGAGTCTTTGATCCACTGGTCCCTGGAGTTGCTGCTGGGTGAAGGCAGAGATGAGGACGAAGACGACGGAGGCTGTGAGAGAGCTCTTGTCTCTTCCTCATCTTTCTCCTCTACGTCATCCTCCTCCTCCTCCTCCTCCTCCTCTGAGTATCCATTATCAGCGGTGAACGAGGCGTCGGACAGAAGCGAGGAGCCCTTGTAATCCTGGATGGCCTCATGGAGAGACCACAGCTGGCAGAGCAGAGACATGTCGAGCTGACGCAGGTCGACCTGTTAGACACAATGGAGGAGTGTGAGGAGGGTCTGAAAAGCTCACAAATAAAGCTTTAGTGATTAGCTGAATAATTGATTATTTGTCAACCATGAAAACAATGATCATCAATTTACAGGATGGTTGACTAATTTGTGGACATTTGAGGATGGGTTTTGGGAAACAGAGCACACGAGGGTGGACCATCACTTCACAGCTTTGATCATGGACTGCTTTACCAACTGATCACAGTATGTGAGGTCACAGGACAGAGAATACCATATGGTTCCTGCTCTGGCTCACTTCCTCTTTACCCTCTATGCTGCAGACTTTACATACAACTCAGTCAACTGTCACCTGTTGACTCTGCAGTCGTCTGCCTCATCACAGATGGGGATGGCAGAGAGTGCAAAGAACTAAACCAGAGCTTTGTGGACTGGTGCAGCACACCCGCCTCCTGAGCAATGCTGGGAAAACCAAAGGGGTGCAAACTCACACAGCCAACACCAGTGAACATTCAGGGCGTGGATGTCGAGATAGTGACATCTTACAAGTATCTGGGTGTTCACCTGAACAATCCACTGGACTGGTTGGACAACAGAAACGCTCTCAACAAGAAAGCAGAATCTACTGAGGAGACTTGTGTTGTAACGGAAAGTTATTGTCTTGATATGACCTGATAGTAACTTATTTTGCAAGAACTCATACATATGCCTATAGTGTATTTTTGTAAGCCAGTGTTTTAGCTTAAGAGGTCATTCCTAGGCCACAAGGTTCCCAGCAGTGAAGGTGCTGTGGCCTTCTACTTCCTTGCTTAGCAGTAAGGTATTTCTGATAACTGGCAGCTGCAGGATGTTTTGTACCTCAACTTTCTTCTCCTCTTCCTCCCTTTTCTATTATCTAATAATGGTCTTTGTTTGTTTCAGACAGATATCTCTCGTTTCATAGACACTCCTTCATGCTTATTAGGTTTATCTTGTCTACGCCTACATGGAACTTCACATTGTGACCAAACTTCAGACCTCACTCTGCAGTTCTCCTGTAAAGTGATTTCTCTTGTGCACAATAAAGGAAGACCAAGAAGCAACGATCCTGACCAATTGTATTTATTATTATGTTGTAGCCTCTGCAACAGGGTCTTGTGGAGTGCATTGAGCATCAGCCATTTTCTATACAGCAGCATTTCTACAGCAGACAGGAAAAGACCTAACAAACTCATACAGAAGGTCAGCTCTGTCCTGTGATACCCTCTGACTCAGGGGAGGTGGTGGGAGACAAGAGGATGCTGGCTGACAACACGTCCCGCTTCCTGCTGGACACTCTAACAGCAGCTCCTTCAGTGGTCGGCTGCTTCACCCGCGGTCTGTGACGGGGAGATACCACAGGCCTTTCCTTCCTACTGAGGTCAGACTTTACAACCAGCACTGCTCCCAGCAGACCACACAATTCAGAAACTGGAATATTTCACTCTGGTGTAACATCAACACATTCAACCGGTGCAACATGGATATTTTGAACATTTTGTACAAGTCTCAAGCCCTTGAATGCTGTTTATCACTAAGATTTATCACTACTGACAGTTGTAACACTGACCATTATGAATTATATGGTCGACTTGGATAATCCCTCACTCTCTGTAGGACGTGATAAACGCTGGGCTTGTATTTATTTATAAGGCTCTTACTGTCCTCTTTACAGTCTTTTAATGCCAGCTCTTACCATACACACTCAGATGAATGGATTACGCTGCAGGCTGTTTTTACTGAACCTGGAAAATCCAGTTGCACCTGCAGCTTGTTTTTAAAATTTAAATGCACTAATTAATGTTTTTATTTCACTAACTTTGTCTTTTAACATTTCATTGCTATCCGAGTTTATTTGTGTGCCATCTTTTACTGTCATGTCCCTGCAGCCCCTGCCCTGCGCCCTCCGTATTTCAGCTCCGGCCAGACAATGCTCCAGCCGTCGCCGGCTCCCGGCCCCAGTCCGGCCACCAGTCCGGCCTCCAGAGGGGCTCCCACCTCCGTCGTCGCCGGGCCCCAGTCCGGCCTCCAGTCCGGCCCCCAGAGGGATCCCGCCTCCGCCGTCGCCGGGCCCCAGTCCGGCCCCCAGAGGGATCCCGCCTTCGCCGGGCCCCCAGTCCAGCCCTCAGAGGGATCCCGCCTCCGCTGTCCCCGGCCCCAGTCCGGCCCCCAGAGGGATCCCGCCTCCGCCGTCGCCGGGTCCCAGTCCGGCCTCCAGTCCGGCCCCCAAAGGGATCCCGCCTCCGCCGTCGCCGGGCTCCAGTCCGGCCCCCAGAGGGATCCCGCCGTCGCCGGGCCACGGCTCCAGTCCGGCCTCCCAGAGGGATCCCGCCTCCGCCGTCGCCGGCCCC